ACTCCACCACTTGCCCACTTGCCTCAGCCTAAACGTGAGCAGCTTCGAAAGGCCAGTACCAGGACCTTCCGGAAGTTTCAGTCCTGGCCTTTTGGATACTGTAGCAGCTACGACCTTGACCTTTCAGGACTGTAGCAGCTACGACCTTGACCTTTCAGAGGTCCTACAGCTACGACTTCTAGAACTCCCTAAGACCACTATTCGACAGATATACAGATCGAACCCCTACAATCTACAGACCCTACGACAGTCTACCAACTGTGGGAACAAACACAGGTCGTGGGTTCAACTCCTGTGGTGGACACAGGTAATGTACACAATAAGGTAAAGTCTAGGGATCGAGCCCTGGGATCTGCATTCGCTACTGCGGACAGGTGAATACCATTTCACAAGTCTCATTTTGTATTATATTTTTTTTATCTCGAAATCAATAAGGAATTCCAAGGTGAACCTCAGCCAAAAGTTGTTTACCATGCAATTTTAAATTATTTCTCTTTTTAAATACAGTCTGTCTTCTCCTCATATGGGGGACAGCTGTATTTTTGCTAGGCAATTTTATTCTCTCAATATCACACCTTCCTCACACTAGCTACCTTGCCTATCAATCAACCCACCATCCCAAGACAAACCGGCAAGCAACCTACCATCCCCAAGCAACCCAGCACAGCCACCCAAGGCAACTCGGCACCAGACAACAGACCAACAGACCAAGACAAGGAGACAATCCTAGGAGTTAATGGTCTACCAACTTAGTACCAAGTGCTACCTACTTGCAGAACCGCTGGTCACTTCTAATCTAGTCAACATTAGTACCTTAAATCTACTAGCCTAGCCTTGACTATCCTACGGTTATGGGTCTAGACCTACCTAACTCTGCTCTGTGCGGGGAGAAGCACCCAAGCTCCTAACTCCTGGCGCGGGCCAGAAAGTCACCAAATTCCACGACCAACCACGAGGGACAACTTTCTCAGTCGGTGAACCCGAAGTATGTCACACAGGGGTTGTGGGGAGTCGAATGGATGTCGTGGGGAATCAAACCCACAACCTCCTGTGTACCACTTACGTGCTCAACCAACTGAGCTAGACCGTTTTCCAGATTTTCTTAATTTTCTTATTGTTATTTTAAAATTATGCAATGGGATCCAGCCTGGACCCCAGCTGGCCGGGCTCGCCCAGGTGGGCACCCGGGCGACCCCTCTCCCCAGCCAGGGCGCCAAGCTTGTAATGCAGATTGTAACATATACTGCCACATATCTATCAGCTAAAAGCGCATACTTTGCGAACGAATGAAGAAAAACAAGACAGCAAGAGTCACACTGAAACCGTTCTTCTTTCTCACAGTTTTGAATTTCGGACGCATTTCTCGATTTACGTGTGTAATCCTTGGTCAGGAGGGCCCATGGTAATCTTCCTTCTCTGTATCATTCCAATTTAATGGATGTCCCGAAGGACAATTCTGTGTGGTAGTTAATAGTTATAACTGTGAATTTATGTGAAGATAAATAAGCCTATACACATAGGGGGGCCACATCCTACTAGAGTTGCTTCCAAAGCCCCTCACGATGCCACATTCCCACCATAGATGCCCCAGGTCTTCACGAGAAGGATGGTCACAGGGAGCAGGGAAGATACTTATCTCCATAATCCATACCGTTACCTGTACAACGTACTGCCGTGGGGACACGGGGGTGCGTATGAGGCCATTGTGTTCCCGCAACTCTTGCCTGTGTAACTCCCACAGTCACATTTCAGACGAATGGGATCCAGATTATTGAGAAGCTATTCAGGTTGAGTGGCTTACCGATCTACGCCCTGTTGTTGCCAAGATTGCCTTGCAAGGTCCAGCTTTGGAGCACGTTGTGTAGCCTTCCTTAGGGGTATAGTCGCGCATTGGCCGATCCTATTGCCAGATCCTGTACACCCTCCCCCTCGCATCGTAAGCCAAAGCATGTCCCCAATGTGGCTCTTTCAGCAAACTCAGTCAGGAAATGGGAGCTAATCCCTGACATTCGGTTTTGGGCTTTGTCGGTTTGTGTGATCCATTCCAGGAGTAAAAGGAGACAAGAAGGTGAGACCCTGCTTGGCACAAAAGTAGAGAGAGAGAGGGGGGGGGGGTGGCCGATCTCATTGCCAGATCCTGTACATGCTCCCCCTCGCATTGTAAGCCAAAGCATGTCACCGATGTGGCTCTTTCAGCAAAATCAGTCAGGAAATGGCAGCTAATCCCTGACATTCAGCTTCAGGTTTTGTCGGTTTATGTGATCCATCAAAGGAGTAAAAGAGGAGGAGAAGGTGAGACCCTGCTTGGCTAAAAGTTGAGAGAGAGAGAGAGAGAGAGAGAGAGAGAGAGAGAGAGAGAGAGAGAGAGAGAGAGAGAGAGAGAGAGAGAGAGAGAGAGAGGGGGGGGGGGGGGGGGGGGGGGGGGGGAGGGGTGGGGAGGGGTGAAGAAAGAGAATCAGGACGCGGTATGAATGATCATCAAGAAGCTTCATCAATGCTTGTTTAGCATTGAAAACTTGTCAATCCCTGCGA